CATTTTCCAACTTACATACTAATTCAATTTAAGAACAAATTGCCAGAACCTATCTCATTCATAACCCGGGCATTGACTGTAATTGTTAGGTATTTTTAAAAAAGGGAGGGGAAAGATTATGGACAGCTTTGCTATATAGATTCTGAAGGCACAAGGATGTAAAACTTACTTTTTCCCCCTGAAGGAGATAGCTTGTTTATTTTTTTAAATGAGTAAAGCAGGACTAAATAAGTGGCGGAGCCTTTAAATGCTGTGGCTGGCTGAGGGCCAGTGTCCCCAAGGAAGTGGGTTTGGAGCTGTGCAGCAAAGGATGGCTGGAAACTAGACAATGAAAGGGGAGTGCCTCCCAGGTAGAGGAAACGCGTGAATTGATGTTCATCAGCCAGTCACTGTGAGGGCTGTTTAATTTAATGGATTATTTTTTTAAATCAGGCAGTGTGGCAGAACTGTAAAGGAATAGAATATTCATTTCTACCTAATCCCCAGGCCTCCACAACCCCATTTTTCTCATCTGGAATGAGGATGCCAAGCTTTGTCAACTCCACAATGTCATCAGCAGACTGGGCCTCTCCAGGTTGTCATGGTAACAGAATACCTCCATCCTTCTTCTTTTTCCTCACTAACTATTCAAAAGAAGGAAATACCATGACACTAGGATAGCTCCTATTTTTCAGCTGAATCTCTTTGGAAACTGCATGTTCATGGGAGAAAACTGGAAATTCTCCAGGTTGGGCTCTCTTTGGTGGGAAACCCTTGTCTGAAATCCAGCTCCTTGTGTTCTGAAGCAACACAGAACCTTGTATGTTGAGAGGGTTCTCTCCAGCTCTGGGTACCCTGTTCCCTGGGACTGTCAATATGTCTGTGTTTTCTCAATCCGAAGGAAGTATATGTAGTTTTAACACCAAGTTTATTCCAGCCCTATACCACGTCACCCCACTCAATAAAGGTCCTCACACAAAAGAAAAACCAGCACAAATTGTCACCCATTCCATGAACAAATTTCAGGGACCCTATGTATTTTTTATACACACCCTCCCCTTGGCTAACTACTTGACCTTTTTGAGTTGTCCCCCCACCCCAAAAGTGTCTTTTCTGCAAAACAAAGGAGTTGAGATTCTGAAGACTCTGGTCAGACTTCCAGATACCAAGACATACCATCCCCCACAGCCTGCCCCAATGCACACAGCCCCTTGTGAGTTACACAGGCACCTGCCCTGAGACAAGTGGCACCTCCTTAAAAAGCCCCTGATCTCTGTTAGTCGGGGAGATGAATTGGAGGCAGCTTCTCCCATTCTCCTGACAAAATATCTTTCACACCAAAAAATTTCTTTCTTCCTTGGCAATCTTCACCATCTCAATAATTGGATCTTTGTGAAACAAGCAACTGGACCTAGGCCAGACCTACCTTGTAATTTCGATACACCATTTGCCCTACATGCTGATACTTTAAAGATCACTTAGATTTGTTTTTTTTTTTAAAGGTCAGTGCTTATGTTTTTATATCATCTAATTTAAGATAATCCTCAGTTACATTATTTAGATCATCTATACAAGTGGTTCACTTGAGCCTGTGTCAGAATCTCCCAGCATGCTTGTACTAACCCAGATGGCTTGACTTCCCCACCCCCCAGCATTTCTGACTCAGCAGGTCTCCAATGGAGTCTGACCCCCATTATATTTCTAACAAGTCCTTAGTTGATGTTGATGCTGCTCATCTGGGTGAGTCATTAAAGTTTTATAAGCTTCAGTTTTATCCGGAAAAAAATAATATCCCCTTACTTAGCCTTGCAAAGTTATTGTTTCAATTAAGCAAGACAAAGTGTGTGAGGCTACTCAGCCAGTAGCTACTCACCATGCAAATATAAGTTAAGAGTATTAAAGCCAAGACCAATTGTGTTTATAATGGCTAAAGTGAAATTCTATCATCCCTCGAGGGCACCTTGAAGATTATGGCCTCAGGTTATAGTCCTCAGCCTCACAGACAAAACTGAACCCTTTCTCATCAGAACTTTGTTTATACCTCTCTCCAAGACCTACTTTTTGTCAAATGTAAAATATTATAAATTACATACTGATCTCCCCCAAAGAATCTGAGCTTCTTGAAGACAGGACACATACATCTTTTTACCTTTCTGTGTCCCATACCCCAACTTCATTCTTAGCACAGTGCTATGTGCATTTAGCAAAGAATTGTTGGAAATAATGAATAAATGAATTAATAAATTAAGATTATATATTTTTGACTTCTAGGTAAAATGATAGCATACACACAGTTTCTACATCCTCCTAAATGACCTCACAATTTCCCCCCAAAATGTATATAATACATATTATATATTAAATATATCATATATTTATGTGTATATGCACACATATATTTATATATATGCCCTATATATAGTCACACACAGACACACACATGATAAAGAGGGAATTGAAGAATCTAAAAATGGCAGCCCACAAGGCTTCCCAGCATGGCTCTCCCAGTTGCTAGGGTTCAGACACCTTCACATAGACTCCAAAAGAGTGAGCAACTCCCATTCCTGAAGAAGATGGTTGACTTCCAGGAGAGGCAGCTTCCAAGACAGCATAGAGATTACACAACTGAGGCCTCTTGATAATATGGTTCCCAAAGCTGTGCTGTGGGCTTTGGCCCTGACCATGTAAGCCTGACTAGAGTTGAGGAGACACCAGGATTAGTGAAGAGCTATATAATATTTTCAGTCACCTTGGCTACTAGAATTTTGCAACTGCAGAATCTACCACTCCCCTTTCTTTCTTGAGGATGCTGGATGGAGAAGGGGGAAATGGGGAGCAAACACCAATAATTTTCATGAACTGCATCTGGAAATCACTGGATGTCCTTAACCAACCAGGAACTGCTCATCCCTTATCATTGTTCCTGGCAGAGAGAAGAGCCCCTGCCACAAGTGAATGTAGATGACCTTGCCATGGGCCTTGGCCTCAAGTTCAGAAGGAAGCATCCACTCAGCTGGACCTAACACCCACCACCAGATCAACTGAACAGTCTTAAACATAATGTGAATCACTTCCCTCTGTACATATATAGAAACATCTTCCTGGAGGCAGAGTGTTTATCTGCCATGATTGGCATGGGGTGCAGAAGGTAGATTTGTATGGGACAGTTTGGTGATGCTGGCTACAAAAGCTTGAGATGCAACAGAAGAGGCAGATAGACCTCCAGCCAGAGGAAGCCATAGCTGGGCTAAGAGGGGGAGGGGAGAACCAAGGGTCACAGCAGCAGGAAACAGGCTACAAATGCTGCCTATCCTTCTTGCCCATAGTCCTGTGCAGTGGTGATCTCCAAGGTGCCCCGTCCTACAAGGTATGAAGTATCTGTGCACATAAATCTCCTGTGAATGTGGTTTTTATGAGACTGCCTATGAATTTCTGGCACACAAAGCAAAAACCCAGACATGGACTTGATGGATCTCTGGGGCTTTAACTTGAGCACCCAGATTCCTTCCTCCCTCTCACCCCAACTTCTGTCCTCTTGAATGTCAATATAGAGCAGAAAATACTTAAGCAAAACTTTCAAATCCAATTAACATTTTAAAAAATATTTAAATCGGCCCAGGTTTTTGTCATCCGAAGTTGGATACAACTTGCCTGTTGTTGTGTAAATGTTCCCAAGGATACATTTCCTCATTTAAAATACCACAGGAAATAAAAAACATAGGAGGACTTTCATTTGTAATTGTCACTCAACTGTTCTAAGTCCAGCACGATAAATGGGATATGAAGCATTTTCTTTATGTTCTACACCCTCAGTGTCTGCTCACCTAAAATAATTCTTGTGTGCTTGTAAAATATAAAGAAAGAACAATTTCTGTTTGTGTTGTAAGGACATTTCAGGTGATATTCAGTATCCCTGTAAGAGTGAGTATCCCCCCAAATTTCTTAACCATAGTCCCAAGTGACACTTAAAAACATCCTCAAGTTCCTTAATACTTGTCTAACTTTGATGGGTGTGTTCACTTTACAGACATTCTTCTCATCAGATTCATAACTCTCCTTCATATATTACTTAAAGAAATGGGCAACAGGATGCACAAAGACATGAGTTTTCAGAGCCTTGATTTTTTTTTTTTAATCAAGTAATTTTGGAATGGTTTCTCCAAACCAGCTGGAAAGCCGCCTATTTCTGAAGGTGATGCAGACCAAAAATGACAACAACAGGGATGCCAGCAGAAGGAAGCTCTTTCAATCCAAGGCATATTTTGACCAGCTACACTTTACCTGGCCCAGAAGAAAGAATGAAGAGAAGCTAAAAGGCAAAAAGGGATGAATCAAAATAGTGACATTTCTTATTGGTCTTTCCAAGAGGAAAGCAAGGATTTGATAGCTATGATAATGCACCTTCTATAGCATTTCTAATTTTTCAAAGTAGTTTTATATGTATTATTAGTATCTCTTCATATACTTCTAGCAGGAGGGCAGGCAGGCATGATGGTTTCTATTCATAATTTTTCTCTTTTACAGGAAAAGTGATTTAATATCCATATCCCTCCCAAGTAATTACATTCTGGGATTTCAACTTTTCTTCCAGTTCTGAATTCTTCTGTGTTTTTTGTTTCTTTCCTCTTATGAGAAGAAAGTATAGGTTGGCAAAAACAAAATAAGTTAGCCAAGGGCTCATCACTTGTTTGTCTTCTATTTTTACCCATGAAATTCTTTTCCTGTATGTCCTTCAGCCCAAACAGACATTCACTGCCGCTTATAAAGTGAAGGATGTAAATGAGGATATACGACGTTCCAGGGAACAGAGTTTGTGAAGTGCCTTCTGTTCTAGCGCTTTAAGTTTATCACATTTTGTTGACTTCTGACATTCCACTTTCCTAGATTACAGGAAAGATCTGTTTATTTAGTTTGTTTTTAAAATGTGCAATGCCTGTACATTAACAAGATTTTTAAAATAATATTGTATAAAATGTTTAATTTATTGGTCTTTTGGGGGAATTAGATGTATCACCACTGTATTACAACTGAGCCATTAATCTTATAGCTTCAGCAAAATTAACTGGTTCACTTTCATGATAGCACTGAGGAATCAATTCTTTCTGCACAGGTTTAAGAAAAGGCCTTTTCAGAAGTGTGCAAGTTCCTTTTGTATATGTACAAAAGCTTTATTCATGCTGTTAACTTTTTCATCATCCATAATATTTATCTTCTTAAGATTAGTGGTAACTGGTTTTGCTTTGTTTTTAGCCTTAAAGTTTTTTTGGCTGGCCATGTGAAATACATCCCTGGACTTCTGCCCTCTGAATGTGTTCTTGGACATTGTCAGATGTTTGATATTTGTGTGCAACTCGGGGTTTCTATTCATATTATTGCTATTATCCTAACTATCATTTCTGCTTAACAAGGCCAAGACCAGGACCAGAAGAGTCTGGTAAATAATCTAGTGCCCCTCAGGGCAAATGGCTTTGTCCTCGGAGACTCTTCCTTTTGATGCTTCTGTTTTACACATTATGAAATACAACCTTCTCCAGACCCCTGTCAGTGAACTTAAAGATAGGACTTAGTTGGGAAGTTAAAGAGAGCAGGGACTGGGCAAGGAGTGGGTCACACATAGGGCAGAGCCAAATGGTTCATGATATGAGCTATAAACAGGTGCAGGGAAGTGCTAGAGGCCATAGCATGGGGCCAGATCAGTCCACTGATCCCACAGTCAGTTGGACAGAGGATGGTTAGGCTATGAAGTTCTGGAAGAGTCTAATTTGAAAAGTGGTTTTAATTTTTAAAATATGCATTATACCACACTACAACCCACATTAAGGTTGTAGTGTGGTATAATGTTTTTCTTATCTATGTAAATAGATAAGAAAAAACTCTTTTGGTGGTAGATAGAGAAATTTTTCATCATTGTAGAAAGTTCTACTGAATAGCACCAGTCCAGACTATGTTTGAAATCATCTACCAATAAATGGTAACAGGGGCCCCCTCATCACCTGAGCCTTGAGGGCAATGGTGTGACTCTGAGCCAAGTCCTCACCCAGTGGCGCTAACATCTGTTTGCAGGATTCCCAGGGGAAGACCCTGAATTTGTCCATAGGACAGCACTTGCTCAGAGGAGGGTGAATGGCCAAAAGCTACCTAGCAAACATCCCCCCTTTTGTAGACAACACAATTTGAATTCAAAGGTCTTTTTTAGAATTCCTGTAATCCTACTCCCTCCGTTCCCATCCTACTTATTCCTTAAAGGTCTCAGAAAGCCAACTGGTATTCCTGATAGGGATAAAGGCTAAACAAGACTCCCCTAAGGAAGATTTTGGCCTCACAGCCTCTGGACCTGTCCCTGAAACTTGAGTTTGTGGGAGGAACTCTCCCAGGATATGGCTGTCCCGACCTCAGGACATGATTCTTTGTTTTGCCCCTAGCCTATCTAGCTTTACTAAATACAGTCTGATACAAATCAGTAAATGATCCTTTAATAATAAAGATACTTGGTGTTCAGACATAACCAGAAAAAAATCAAGAAGTCAAATACGTCCAAAGCCAAATGACTTCTCCCTTCCTTATTTGAGTATGAAGAAGAAACCTATCTTGTTAGGAAATGGCTATTTTCTGAATCTCTGTGGACAGAGCTGCCTGCAGTTTGTGTGCATCTCTTGGTATTGAAAATCTATTCAGAGTGCTGCAGACAAAACCACTACTGTGCACAGAGGCCCAGCACTCGGGGACTGACACATCTCACTCTGTGTTCCTCTGTCGTGGCGTCCCTGGGAAATCATCCCACATGTGGGTTTAATGATAAAACCACTCCCTTTTGGGAAAATGAGTTTCTAAAAGGAAAATAATTTTTGAAAATAAACTGGGAACTTTATAAGATAAGCCACTTACCTGTTAATTATAAGACGTATCCACAGAGGAGGAACATCCATCTGGACTTTGAGTGGAGTACTTCAAGGCACCCTGAAAGCCCATTCTGGGGCACAGCCAGCTAGGTCTTCAGGGGAGTAGGAGGCAGCGGCCTCTAACCCAAGCAACTGATGAGCAGAGCCCATCAGGGGTCTTCTCATCAAAATTCATTTTTTGCCTCTGATTTTCCACCTGTCAAATCTCCAAATCCCATTTTTTCCAGTGGCTCTGGAGCCATCAGTTGCCTGTTCATTCCTCATTCTAAATATTCTTTTTATTGATTTCTGCACAAAGCATTTTCAAAATTATTGTCACGGAGACACTTAGTGAATTTCTCTTTAAAGCTTTGACATTCACCAAAGTGATCTAGCAAGAAGCTGCCCTCGTCTGGCGCCCGCGGCTGGAAGCTCTTGGTCCCTGAGTTCATGGCAGTCAATATGATGGTGGCACCAGAGCCTGTGAGCACCAGACTCAGTGTATGCAGGGTGGCCAGCCAGGGATTGAGTACCCAGAACATGACTCTTTCCTCCCAGAGATTTGCACTTGCTTCTCTGAGAATAAGAAAGGATGGTACCAAAGTTCTATGATGCGTTTACTGGGAATCTGGGGTGGAGGCTATAAATGGGTATTTGCCAATGTAGCACCACCCACGTTTTTTCATTAAATCCCACATTTCTTAGACTCTTCTGGCTTGATGTCTCAACTCAACGATCCTGAGGAATATACATCTCTGTGCCCTTGGCTGTCCCTGTGATTTATCCCAGGCCAGTATAACTGTTGAGCCAATCAGGTTCAAATTAATACCAAGACATCAGAGCCAAAGGAGTGATTGGTTTGCAACACTGCTGTGAAGGCTGAAGTCAGAACGAACCAGGAACCACATATGAGATTCAGAAATAGAAGATTCAGGCAAAAAACCAAGGTCAGGACAAAAGAGGGAACATGAGGAGAGAAACAAAACAAAACACATCGGTAGTCTGGGGGCCGGTTGGGTTGCCTGGGGGCCTGTCTGGGTGGTCATCTGCTCACAGTGCCTCCATAACAGTTGGTCACATCCAGGACCCAAAATACACAATTGATGAAGCCAGCATCTGCATTTGGGCTTTTCCTTGCTCCCCCAATTCTACCATACCAGTTCCCTTGCTCGTGACCCATCTTTGTTGATTCCCTTCAAGAAGACATAGTACAAATTTGCACCCTAAAACTAAATGATGTGGAAACCTCACCTCTCCGGAATACAACTAAAAACCAAATCAGAATATACAAGCACAGAGGCTGCCAAACCACCAGAATAACAGTGTTAAAGATAGTGCACTCTACTTACGGAACTAATCTTCAATCCCTCTTTTATGCTCATGGTAACAAGCTTAATAATCCAGTTTACCTGCCCAAAGCAAACAAAAAGCAAAATTATAGAAGGGGAGACCAAAAAATTATGAAAAGCAGACATAGATCTTTCACCAAGCACAATTTGAGGTCATTTGCTAGACTGCTAGACTGCTTCTGGTAATTAAGGCACAAAATGATTAAGCTATATTCAGTTTTTTCTACTTACATCACAAATTTGTAATATACAGTAATTTGGAAGTGACAGATACCTAAGCTGTATCACTTTTTCTGTTTCTTTTTAGTTTTTTATGTTAATCTCAAAGAAAGGAGAAAAGAAATTATTTTCCTCTCTTAATACCAGGAGAAGGTAGAGGCCCTGACTTTGTATCTGAGGAACTCTTATCCACAAGAGCGAAGGAAACTCCAAAGAAATCCACTGGCCTCTACACCTTCTACTGTTACTGGCCAGCGGGAGGGTTGCTAACACAGCCAAGCCTCATTTATAATCTCTCAGCAGATGAAGGCAGCTGAGCCTATGGAAGAACAAGGCATCTACTGTGTTGTTTCAGGGCTTTGGGCCTCACCCAAAAGGGAGACAGAACACCATTTTAACATCTTGCTGCATATACATATACCTGTGTACAAGCCAAAAAAAGTTCTGGCAGGATTATACAAGAAATAGACCGTAGTGATAAACTTTAGAGGGCACTAAGGGGCCTGGAATGAGAGGAAAATTTACTTCTCATCGTATACACTTTGTAAAAAATCATTTTTATAATATGATGTATTACTTTTAAAACTAAACCAAAATCTGGTTAACACATGTTAAGATGTGAGGAAGATTTATACACAACAAGATCAAAAAACCTCATTGACAGAATTTTAAGTGAAACACCAAATAGTTACAAAGTATATTGGAAGAAATGATCTCATTTACAATAAGAACCAAAGAGATAAAATTTAAGACCTGGACAAAATCTATACAAAGGAAACTTTTCAATTCTACTGAGAAACATAAAAAAATAATTGAAGAAATGGGAAAAGCATACTCTGTTCCTGAAAGACTCAATAATTTAAAGATGTCAATTCTCCCTAAATTAAACTATAAATTTAATATGATCTCAACAAAAATGCTAAAGGATTAGGGGATGAAGGGAAAGCTGATTATAAAGTTCACAGGAAAAAATAAAAATGAAAGATGGGCCAGGAAAACTCTTTTAGTCCCACCAGAGAACAGAACACTAAGAAGTGTTCTGGTAATTAAAACCATTTGGGAGACTTCTGGGGAAACACAACCATTGAAACACCATTAAGAGGACAGTGAAATAATAAACAAAAGTGAAATACAAAACTCCAAAGAGAATGGGAGAGACAGAGGCAGCTATAACCTGGCCATGTTACGGAGTAAAAAAAGATCGAGAAGAAGAGGAGGGGTTTGCCCCTGCAGACCCCAGAAAGACTCCAGGCACAGAGGAACCATGTTCTGAGGGAGGCAGGAATGAGGCAAAGGGCTGAAAACAGAGAGGTTGGTTGGATGTGTATTTACAGGGCAGTTAGAAATCCCTGTTTCCTTCCCTTTTCCTGCCAAGGTAAATAATCTCCCCTACTGCCCCCACTGAATATTGTGGATTTATTCTCTGGAGAAACAAAAATTGAAACTAAACTGATTTTCAACCTAGCATCCGGCCTATACCCAGCTAAACTACTAAGCCAATGTGAGGTTAAAGAAATGTGCAGACACGTAAAGACTGCCGGGACACACTTTCTCAGAATGTCCAACCTTCCCTATAAGCCACCAGAGAGGAGCCTCTCAAATTTTTACAAACACACCACCACCTGAGGACACAATACATTATTGTTTGGCAGTCTCAACACCTGTGGTGTAAATAGCCACGGGATCACTTCTATAAATGGCCTCGAGAGACCTTAGTCGGGTTCCTCCTACTGACTGCTGCGCCTTTGGGGTTCTCCAGCGCCTCTGATCTGACTGAGACAACAGGCTCCCTGGCACCCATGGGGAGCGATACCCCGAGTCGAAGTCTGCATCCTGGCAGTTTGACGGGCTATACGTCCCGGCTCCCACAGTGAAAACTTACCGAGCGCCATCGTTTCACATGTTTGCTCATCTCTTTAATGCCTGGCTTACTAGAAGACAGCTGGATGCTCAGATCTGCGGTGAGGCATTGTTTTAGTTGAAGTATGTGAAGAAAATCTGGTCTCACACAGATATGTGGTTGAAGGAGTGAAGACTTCATTGATCACTGAAAAGAACTTGGGGCCCCAGAGGTCCCCGACAACACCTTGAAAACCACTTCTGGAGTATCTTGCTGCCCAAAGTACGGCCCAGGAACCAGCAGCGTCCATGTGAACCGAGATCTTTAGAAAGGCAGGATATCACCTGCTTCAAATCTCTCAGCTCCTCCTCCACATCGCTCAGGCAGATTTATCTGCCTTCCTTTACTGCTGTTAAGGGCCCATGTGATTACACTGTACCCACCAAGAAAATAGCCCCATGTTAAGGTCAGCTGATAAGTAACCATTATTAATAACATCTGCCCAGTCCCCACAGTAGTGCCTAGACCCATATTTGAAGAACCAACCAGTGGACAGGAATCTTAGGCAACATCTTTAGAATTCTGCCAACCAAAGGGAAACTTCCTGATAATAGCAGATAGCAGGTCTAGGGCCCAATCAACCCAGAGTGGAGCAGGCTGACTGAGGGATGTAAAATAAAGAAACAGATACATTGGAGCATGTAAAAAATATCACTGGCAGACATAGTACAGAGATGTCAGAGTGTTTAGATAAGCTTAGCCAGAAGGTCATTAAAAAAGCTAGACAAATGAAAACACAATATGCTGATTGTGCCAGAAAAAAAATGAAGAATTTAAAAAGAAAGGAGGCTCAATCATCATGAACCTTGGCAGTGAATAGTCTCTACACTGTCACAATAACGTAAACACTCTATTGATTTAACAACAACAAAAATGTGTAACTATGATGGGAGTGGGGGAAGGGAAAACAGTGAAAGGAGGAAGGAAGTCAATAGACAAATTGAAAACTGCAGCATAAATATACTGTTTAGAAATACGGAGGGCTCAGCAGAATTACACAGAAGAACTGGAATGGCTGAAGGGGATTGTGTCTGAGAAGCAGGGCTGGGAGTGGGGGTGGGTAGTGGGTCCCTGCCCTGACACCTATTAGCATCCTGTCCTCCTCTTCCCCATTCACTCTTTGCCCTTCTCTGCTTTGCCCTGAGCCCTAGAAGGCTGACAGCAGTCTGCTCCCTTGCCCCTGGGTCCTGGTTGAATTTAGCCAATGAAAGGCGCTCAGAGATTAGGCTGGGAGGGGATTAGCTGAATTAGGCAGATTAGCTGAATTAGGCAGATTAGCTGAAGGAGGCATCTGCATATTCTCTGCTGGGTGAGACTGTCTGTCTCTTCCAAGCTCCAGCTCTGTGCAGGTTCTTGCCCAAGGCCCCCTCCCCTTGCTCCTCCAGGCCTAGGAATGGGCCTCCTTTGGGAACCTCACTGGCCCTGTCATGTCTTTTAATCCTGCTGCCCCTCTAAAAATTGTCCCTTTATTAAAAAGTTCTCCGGAATGGCCAGAGTACCTTTGTTTTTCTACTAGGAACTTTACTGGTACAAATAAAACATTGTGTGACTTTTTAAAACTTTTGCACACAGCATCTGGCCCCTATGTCCTCTGTGTCCAAGGTGGCAATCATGTGCTGTGCACTGGACAGACTCAACTCACGCATGACAGGGAGCCCGGTGTCTGAGTGTTCATGTGTTAAAACACACGGGGTCCTCAGAGCAACTGCAGACTTTGGATTCAAGCGAACCACCTGCCTCAGTTTCCTGAGTAGCTGGGACTACAGGTACTCGTCACCCAGCTAAATTTTCTATTCTTGGTAGAGACAGGCTCTCACTTTGCTCAGGCTGATCTCAAACTCCTGAGCTCAAGGGATCCTCCTGCCTTGGCCTCCCAGAAGGCTAGGATTATAGGCAACAGCCACCATGCCCAGCCCACATCAGCTGCTTTAAAAGTCTGAAGCTTGGGTTGTGACACCAGAAGATTTCAGCAATCTTCCACCTCAACAAAGAAGGAAAAAGCTACAAGAGACAGTCAATGAGTTAAATGAATCCAAATGTAGATGCATCAAAGAGATGGCAGAACAAAAATGAA